GTCATACGAAACCAGAGGAAGTCACAACAATCTGCAACGCCCTGGGTACACGCAGGTGCATGTGCGCGGGCAGTTAATAGGGGTCTATGGACAAATGATTCGCTAATATGAAGAGGGTACCACCGGTAGGTAACCTTTCCACACCAGCATCGCCGACAGCTGCAGCCGTAGTGGTACAGGCGGAAGTGCACCTATTTGTGCAGCCGCCGTGTACAGAAAGGGTAAGAAGATGTAGGGATTGAAAGAGAGTCACTGTGTAAATAGAGGGTAAGAAGCGAGCGGAGACGTAATGGGAGAACACTTGAGCCGCTTCGGGAAAGCCGAAAGAACTTCAAAACTAGACGCAATCATTCGTGCAGTAAAACACCAGGAAGGCTAGATTTTGTGCCAAATGAGGCGCCTTCGCCTGCGGTCTTTAATTATTTCGAAGGACTCGGGACTACTACCGACTACTACACACGCTCACAAGCTCTGATAAATGCAGTAAGGGCGAGTGTTGGGCAAATTTGCGTCTTTAGTTAGGGACACAAGCATATCTTGCTGGTCGGCCATACGCACAGGATGATACGAAGTTTAATCAGAACCCTTGGAGCTATTGTTTCTTGCTAATACAAGCGAACATGCGAGTCCCTGTAAGTAATTGAGAAGAAGACGACTCGATCACTGGGACAATACTTCTATTCGCTTGACGTTTCGCGATCCATCGCGGATTCATCATCAGAGACATAGCCAGAGAGCAGTAGCAGTAGACCAGTAGCTACTGCTCTCTGACTATGTCTCTGGTGACGAATCCGCGACAGATATCGAAACGTTAGGCGAATAAAAGTATTGTCCCAGCGATCGAGTCACCTTCTTCCCAACTACTGTATCTCCTTTGTAGGCCTGAGCATTTGAAATGTAGCCACATCATGCATTCCTTTTTGGCTACCAGCAGGCTCAGGGGAGGCCCACATGTGCCTTTACTACTCTAAAATTCAATATATTTTTGTCACTTATTTTTTTAATGTTTGATTTCAAAGTTAAAAATAGGTCCCTCGGGAAAACAGTGCGGGGGAACTCCTCAAGGAGCAACGCATAAAAGCCATTCGATTTTATTTGGAATATCTTCCTTTCATTATGCGAACACAGAATGCATGTACGCGTTATTTTCTGATCGTAGAAACATAAGCCCAACTTCACTGAAACACCTGTGTGAATAGGCAGAATACTACCTTTTTTCGGCTTCTCGTGGGGCCATGGCCTCGAGTGACGCAAAATCTGGAAAGGCGATCGGGCTTTATATTTCTTAAACATGAAGATGGCTATAAAAGTATCATGCGCAGCGACCGATGTCGAGTAATGGTGGAATAATTTGCACGTTTTGCCAGTGAAAGACAAGCCAGTGATATAGTGACAACCAGAAGGAGAAAGGCAATTACTAAGTGCATTTTTGAAGAGTAATTAGCTTCGCGAAAGTAGAATTTTAATTGGCTTTCAACTTAAACGGACGTAACAGCAACAACCTCTTACATTTGAGGCTATTGATTGCATCCCAATAAGCCTAAGAGCATATATCAGCTTAAGGGCAATGGCTAGACATGTTACGAACTACACTGAAAGGATGTAAAAAAAGACCCCCCCCC